CTAGACATATTATATATATTTATTCTTATTTTCATCCTCTCAAATTCACTGATCAATTTCTTAGTGATTTTATTAAACTGATTAAACAAGACGCCGCAGCTATTTCTTTTATTTCACTAAGTACTTTCAATCTCACCCAAGAGGCGAATTGCCAAGACAAAAATTTAATATAATTGATAGTTGGGATTTTTTTGTAGATGCGCATAAAACATGGTCCGTTATAGTCAATTTAAAAATTAACTGTTAAGAATATGTAAGGGTGGTAACTTTATTTATATTTTTATTATTAATGTTTTTAAAATACACAACCAGCAATTCAAAAAATACAATTTGAGTATCCCAAATCATTGCTTTTAGAGGCATTTTAAAACATTTTTGCTATACTCATAATTAATCTTATTTAGTATTGTTTGCATTTTATTAATATAGATCGTTTTCGTTTTTATTTTGATGGTGGAGTATACTTATATTGTCAATTAATATTTCTCTAAAACTCGAATGTTCTTTTAAATGTTGTGCAATAGAACTTGAATCCAATTTGGGTAATGTACACTTTCTTGATAATTTTCACGTGAAACAAAATATATATTTACATTTTTGTCGAAGATACAATCTCCCAAAGGACATTTAAATTGATGTATAATGTTGGTCTTTTGCAAAACATTAGTTGACAGAGAAGAGTTATTGTGGATGATTAAGTTGGTTGTATTAAATTTAGTATAGTATATAATTAATTTTATTTTTTTACTAGGATCAATGGAGGGATATATTAGTACTGTTTTTTTAGATTTTTTCATCCTGTTTGTAGTTAGAGTATATTTGATTGCGGTGTAGTAGGTTGATATATTTAGGGTTATTTGGGGACGTATTATGTTCTTTGTTATTCATGTTAATATTTCTAATAGGTCGTTTAATTTGTTCGTCAACAATTTGATTAATCATTATCAATGAGAGTTTGTTTAATGTTTTTTTTTAATTTCGTGTAGAAAATTTCTTTCGTGGAATCGTCCTGGGTATGACGGTAAACTACATCCGCGTCCTGGGTATGACGATAAACTACATCCGCGTTCCGAGTAAGACGATAAACTACGCCCAACAGCAAGGCCTCTGAACAGGAGGTTGTGAAGACCGTGGAACCACCTTTTAGTTGCTGGTGTTCCAGGTCTACCCTGACCCGAGGTGGCATCACCTGTTAGGGTCCCAACTATGGGCAAATAGTTAACCCCTAAACTGGAGTCAAAACACTATGAAAGTGTAAAGATAGGTTTTAATACCAGAAATACCATGTAAAAATTATTACCAGCAATAAATTTTTGAAAAAAAAATATTACTAGCAATAAAAGTCTTGTTGGCATTAAATAACCCATTGATGTTTATATGCGATAAAACAAAACAAACCAAACCAAACTTTCGTGGGAGGTTTAACTTTTGCACGGTTTATTAAATTTTGTATAATCGCTGATTTGTAATAGGACATACATTTTTATCGTTAAGAGTGCATGCGTTTATGTGAGTTAACTTTTTATATGGGCAGGTACTAAATGTATTATTGTTTGTGTCTATTAATATATCAAGAAAAGGAATTCTGTTATTGTTAAGTTCATATGTGAACTTAAGAACGGAGTATTTTGGAAGTTTTTTTTACTTCTGGTATTTCTTCTACGTTTTTAACTAAGGCAAGAATATCTTAGGCAGATGGAGGGAAATTAGCGGCTCTAAATATCTTATTTTTAAGGTTAGCTATGAAGAAGTTACTAATTGTTGCTCCCAGAACTGAACCCATGGAAATGCCATCACGTTGAACGGAGATACTATTTTGATTGTCATAGAATGGAACCTCTGTAGTACAAGAGTAGTTTCCGTAATATTTTGGGTTTAATTTTTAAGGGAATGAAAAAGGGGTTGTTGTAAATATTTTTTATAATTCTATCAATTGTTTCACTAATTGAGACATTAGTGAATAAACATTTAACATCAAGGCTATATTTTTCTTGTGCTTTTAAGATTTGGATTAGTTCGTGTGTTGAGTTAATGCAGCATTTACTAGGTATGTATGGTGTAACGAGTTGGTTAATGATTTTGGCTAATTGATAAACTGGAGTGAGGATCTGTGATATGATAGGACGGGGAGGGAAGTTAGTTTTAAGTATTTGTATAGCATTTATATATAAGTGTTTATGTATTTTTATAGTATTTATGTATTTCTATAGTATTTATGTATAAGTTTTTATGTATTTGTATAATATTTATGTATAAGTGTTTATGTATTTTTATAGTATTTATGTATATGTGTTTATGTATTTCTATAGTATTTACATATAAGTGTTTATGTATTTTCATAGTATTTACGTATAAGTGTTTATGCATTTTATAGTATTTATGTATGTGTTTATGTATTTTTATAGTATTTACGTATAAGTGTTTATGTATTTTATAGTATTTATGTACATGTGTTTATGCATTTTTATAGTATTTATGTATATGTGTTTATGCATTTTTATAGTATCTATATATCTGTGTTTATGCATTCTTAAAGTATTTATGTATATGTGTTTATGTATTTTTATAGTATTTATGTATAAGTGTTTATGTATTTTTATAGTATTTACGTATAAGTGTTTATGCATTTTATAGTATTTATGTATGTGTTTATGTATTTTTATAGTATTTACGTATAAGCGTTTATGTATTTTATAGTATTTATGTATAAGTGTTTATGTATTTTTATAGTATTTACGTATAAGTGTTTATGTATATTTATAGTATTTATGTACATGTGTTTATGCATTTTTATAGTATTTATGTATATGTGTTTATGCATTTTCATAGTATCTATGTATCTGTGTTTATGCATTCTTAAAGTATTTATGTATATGTGTTTATGTATTTTTATAGTATTTATGTATATGTGTTTATGTATTTTAATAGTATTTATGTATATGTGTTTATGTATTTTATAGTATTTATGTATAAGTGTTTATGCATTCTTAAAGTATTTATGTATATGTGCTTATGTATTTTTATAGTATTCATGTATATGTGCTAATGTATTTTTTATAGTTCTATACGTGTTTTCTGGTTTATAGTCACCAATTATTTTTGGAAAGTTTTAAGCTGTCTTGTTCTGCGTTATTGGCAATATATAATATATATATATATATATATATATATATATATATATATATATATATATATATATGTTAGAGATTAAAGAGTTTGACTTGTATCTGGGACGATCTATGTTAATCTCGAATAAATTCGAACAAAATAAAGATTTATTCTCACCATATAGAATATATTTCGACTTTAAATAGCCTTGAAATCAATAAATCTATTTATGAATCGATCCTACCATATCCAATAAACCAATAGTCCCACTATTTTAGTTTTTGATGTTATAACCTTTCTAGAGAAACAGAAAATGGGAAAATAGAAACATTATTGATGCCATAATATAAGTGTTATGATCTTTGGAAATGTGTCAGTTGTCAGAAGCACGATTTGACGAATTCATCGCATTATTCCACTACTCTAACGTAATATATATATATATACGCATGTGTGTTATATTATTAATTTAAATTATTTATTTATTAACTTTGTGTATTTTCCTATTATGTAATCTGTTGGGTCTATGATGTGATTTTAGGAATACAGTTTATTGGAATTATGTTTTTTAATTTAGTTTTATGAGATATGATGTGGTTTTAGGTATCGCAGGAGGAATTTTTTTCAAGCTTGCATTTGGAAATGAGTTTGTTATGTTATTTCGGTGTATATCCTTCTCTGTAAAAGGAATCATCGATGTTTCTTCTTTAGGTAAAGCTTAAATCGTTTACAGGTATTGTGATCTGGTTGCGTTTTCTATTCTTATTTTAGTCTGTTTCAATTGTGCTTTTGATTCCTCATATATGTTTTGATAGAGTAGTATTCTTAGCATATTTTCTGTTTTTGAATTTTTTTTTATGTGAGCTTATATATATATATATATATATATATATATATATATATATATATATATATATATATATAATCGTTTATAATGGTCGGAAGAGACAGTACGATTGCAAGAGGGCTTTGGAAGAGTGAGTTAATTTTTATGGTGTCCATTTTGTTACTACATTATTTCAGCCGATATTTTCAGTGAATAATAGAGTATGGGTGACTCCTGTTGCTTGAAATGGACTAAGCCGGTCGGTATATAAGTCAATGTTTTCTACTATTTATTTCAGTACACAGTCCCTCCCTTTTCCTTAAGGATTGTATACATTAAGAAGACTGGAGAATGAAGCAATCTAAACTTTAATATAATTAACAGTAATTATAACAGGAGAAAAAATCGTTGCAATATATATATATATATATATATATATATATATATATATAATACTTATCAAAATACACAGGAGAAGCCTCAAGTAATCTAAATAAAAGATTATATGAACACAAAAGGAACATTTTACAAAACAATACGTAAAATGCGTTGGTTGCATACCGTAACGAGACTGACCACAATTTTGACATAAAAATGCAACTCTAATCAAAGGAGAAAACAATTCACTACGACGTAAATGTATAGACAGTGCCTTGATCGCAAGGTTTTTTTACACTAAATTTGCGCCCTGGCTCACTATTTCACTATTCCTGGGAGATCTTCTATTATCACAGTGGGCGATACCTACTAACGAAAGTGATGGAAAGAAAAAGAAAAAAACTCTAAATGAATTCCGTTATATATAAAAAAAAAATCTAAAATCTCCAGCACCCCGTCTTCGTGCGCATGTGCAGTCGCGCCAATAAAACAAATTGAATCTGAGGAAGTCCTGAAGGACGAAACGCGTCGCAAATACACTTTTCCCACTTTGTCATACAATTTCCACAATATTGTACTTGATATATAAAATATATATCGTTTTTCTCTCACACACAAACACATGTGCACAAATATATATATATATATATATATATATATATATATATATATATATATATATATATAGTTAAATAGATAGATAGATAGATAGATAGATAGATAGAGAGAAAGAGAGAGAGAGAGAGAGAGAGGGTTCTCAACATAGGCTGTTCGTGGAATAAATAATCGAAATTTTCGTGTTGAAAACTTTTATTAAATGTAAATAACTGTGGAAAATATCTTTAAAAAAATGAAATATGAAAAAAAAAGTAAAACGTAAGATTAATAAAAATACGAATTTAAATATAAAATAAAAATAATCGAATTAAATGTCCACAATGTCATCGAACTCGGAAACATTAAATCCTTTGGGGGATGAATTCAAATTAAAAATAGTTTCGTTCATTGACTGGAATCTTTTTGTCTAATTCATTTCAATTTTACTGCTGGTCTAACGCGCCAGTCAGATCTATTGCTTAAATTGTGTGAGTTGCATTTCTGATTAAGAAATGTGCTTTCTGTGTATCATAAAACAATTTGAGAATACTTATTATGTATGGTTTGCTGCTATCTAAATATTTCTAAATATTTATATACACCGGATAACATTTAAGCACTGAGCTCTCAGTTTAATTTTTATTTTAAGATTTTAGCTTATATTAAGCGATAGCTTATATATATATATATATATTCGTTGACGATCTACAGGCACAATCAAGACACATCAATAATAATACCGAGTGAGGAGCAAAAGTTGGAACGTGATTAAAATAAATAAAATAAATAAAATATTGCTAGCAATAAAAATAAATTTTAATTGTAAATAAATTCACGAATAAAAAATATAATGGGAAGTTCCAGTAGAGTATAAAATAGAAAAAAGTGTTTTTAGAATGCATGCGTCTGGCGACTGAAGATGTGGAATTCAGTTTCCATGATTTATGTATGCCCAGGTGGATGGTGTTGCAATGGGTAGTTCTTTGGACCCAATGTTGGCCAATATTTTCGTAGGTTATTATGGACAACTTTTTTTTGTATATTTTTAACATATTTTTAGTTGGTTCTAAGCTTTTGGTATTTGGAATAAATTTTTGTTAGCTTTATGTTGAGGGATTTTATTAAATTACACGTTGTTTTTTTGTCATGATGTTGTCATATGTACTGTAATAATTTGTTTTCGTGTCTACATTTGTCCACACTGGTATTTAGCACTTTCCCACATAAATATATCACGTTTCAGACAATATATTTATAGGGCAAAACACACACACACACACACACACACACACACACACACACACACACACACACACACACACACACACACACACACACAGGCGCGCGCGCACACACACATATGATAAGAACATAGTTTTAAGATATGCTATACGAAACTCTACGAAACTCTGGAGTCGACGTGCTTCTTCAGTTTCATTGCTTTATGCTTCACAAGCTAAGCTTAGCAAATATAAGGAGTTAATTATTGAATAGTTTCCTTATTTAAATGGTTATTTAATATTTAGATTCGTATGGCAGAAAGTAGTCAGTGAGAACTGAACTCACAACATAGCTATAAGGATCCCTGTGTGCAACAAGATAATCAATGTTCCAGGGGGGGGGCATCCAATGTAGATAGATTGACAGACATGAAGATATAGACAAAAAATAAAGATAATGGGGCATTTTGAGAGAAGTATTGACAAAGTGAAAGCGATAGAGAGATCGATGAGATACATAAAGATAGATAGTAAGGACTACGCTGAGATAGATAGATAGATAGATAGATAGGTAGAAATACGCTGAGATAGAAAGTTGGAAATAAACTAAGATAGATAAATAGATACATATGAAAAGACTGCGATAGATAGATAGATAGATAGATAGATAGATAGATAGATAGGAATAAACATAGATTGATAGAAAGAAAGAAATACACTGAGATAGATAGATGGATAGATAAGAATAGGTAGAGATAGATAGATAGATAAATAGATAGATAGATATGAAAAGAGTGACATAGGAATACTGAGATAGACACATACATAGATAGATAGAAATGAACATGAGAGAGATAGACAGACAGATAGATAGATAGATAGATAGATAGATCGTATGAACAGGATTGAAGAGATAGATAGATAGATAGATAGATGGATAGGAATACACTGAGATAGACAGGAATACACTGAGATAGATAGATAGGTAGATAGATAGATAGGAACAGACTGAGATAGAAAGAAATACACTGAGATAGATGGATAGATAAATAGATAGATAAGAATAGGCAGAGATAGATAGATACAAAGAAATACACTGAGATAGATAAATAGATATGAAAAGACTGAGATGGATAAATAGATAGATAGATAGATAAATAGATATGAACATGACATAGATAGATAGAAAGATCGTGATGAACAGGACTGAAGAGATAGCTAGCTAGCTAGCTAGCTAGATAGATAGATAAATAGATAATATGAATAAACCGAGCCACTGTTCTCAATAGATAGTTACTAAGCCTGGTGTCGATCGATAGCAATACCCAAACTGAGATTGAGGGAAATATTTCGGTAAATCACCGGGAATTAAATACCAACATCTTGTGACATTGCAACTAATTTTTTTCAGCTACGCCAATCTTATGCATTTAATGTGTATTCATCCGTGTGTTTTGTTATGTGCCATAAATCGCATCGTTTCGTATAAAAATGCCAGGCCGAAGAAAGCGATAGAATAGCGGACGGAAGGACCGGTGTGCAAGAAAACTGCCGCAAACAGATTATTGATAGCCAGCCATTACTGATGACTCGAGATGTATTACTGGCGACTGGCTGTTTCAAAACCCAACGCGGCTTGTCAAAAGATGGTATCACTATGCAATATAAAAGACGATAAGTCGAAAAACTAACCAGCAATATATATATATATATATATATATATAGTTGCGATCTAAGGAAGGTTACTGATTAGAATAATCACACGAACGTTGGTAATGGACGATAATACTTAGGACAAGAACAACACATAAAGGATTCGCCAGCGACGCATAGAAGTAGTCAAGTACTAGAAGTGAGTCAAGTGAATTTCACAATGAATCTCCAACTGCAGGATATCTATCAACCGCTCTATGCTGTCAGATGTGTCAAAAGGCCAAATTTAATATAGGGTATCCGAGCCGTATAAAACGGGGTAGCTGCTTGCCGAAACGAGACTCTGCCCTTCGATATAGCCCCGTCTGGAGATCCTCTCTGCCTACGGGCAGAGAGTTTGACAAGCACAGCTGAAGACGAATCTCCAACGGTAGGATATCTACCAACCGCCCCACGCGGCTAGAAGTGGCACAAAGCCGAATTTAATATAGTGTATCCCAGCCCGTAGTCATGGCGAAAAATTCCCCGTAGACCGGTATAAAACGGGGTCGTGTAGCTATTTGCCGAATCTATGCTCTGCCCTTCGACATAGCCTCGTCTGAGGATCCTCTCCGCCTCCAGGCTGAGAGTTTGACCAGCACAGCTGGAGACGAATCTCCGACTGCAGACCAACATACAGTATTTACTACTGTATTTATTGAATGGAGACATACACATTGTCGTCCGTAGGTATGCTACAACACATACACTCATACATACATATATTACTCTAATTGTAATTCCACGAATCTAAATGAATCTTGTTTCCCATACTGATAAAACCTGTTCTTTACAATGACTGTGGTATCCGAAAGTAATTGAATACAATAAGGGGAAAAACATGAACTTTGGACAATCTTTTCATGAATATATTTCTGGGTTAATTCTTGCTACCCCAAATACACATATACATATATATCTTGTTAGTATAAGCGATATTTGTAGTAGGTACACGTATTTGGCTTGCTAACCCTGATATAAATATCAACCGGCCTAGACTTAAATTAATCAGTATAGAGAATAGTGGATAGAGTAGATAATAGCGATCCGTATAGTAATAGAGGATAGAATACAAACAGTATCAATTAGACGCCACGCCAATTCCCATATATACATTTCCTTTGCCATCGTGTGATCTACTTATTCAAAATGGGATCGCCTGTGATTGATCTCTGGCTATCCGTGTTCAAACTCCAGTGTTGACAGCGACATTTTATTCTTATATAACACTTTTTTTTTATCAGACTATTTTGATCAAGGGAGAAAAAAATTCACTAAGACGTAAATGTTTAGAGAGTGCCTTGATCGCTCGATCATCCGCAGTAATTTGGAAAATAAATGAAAAATTACCGAAAATTGGTTACATTATATACCCAAGACAACATTAAAAATGAAAAATAATGTAAAATTCACAGCACCCTTCGTCCGTGCGCATGTGTAGTGGCACCAATATAAAAACATTTAGTTCGATGGAGTCCTAAAGGACGAAACGCTTTATATGTATGGAGGCCCGGTGGTGTAGTAGTCAGCGGCGGCGAAAGAGAAATCAGTGAGCCGAGTTTGAATGCAAGTCGACTTCATTTGACTCAAGAGATAATATAAGTGGCAAAGGTATGAATCCATAACTTCTCGTCCTAGCTATATGTAAATAAGAGGGCAGACTGGAACCTATAGCCTTGGGTGGCAAACGGTCTAAGAGAAGGATTACTCTGAATTCAAAACCTGAGAGAGTCGTTTGTACCAGTTCTCTGTATTTAGTTCGGCCCAAAATGTCTGCTTGGTTTTGTAAAAGCCTTAACTGTTTTTTTTTGGGTTCTATGGACTGAGATGCTGGAGTCTCACATGCTAAAAACAAACGGAAGAGTCCGCCATATATATATATATATATATATATATATATATATATATATATATGTGTGTGTGTGTGTGTGCGTGCGCGTGTGAAAAATATATAGAAAATAGGAAAGAATTCGTTAGGTAAATAATCCAAAGATCTTTAGTATTTTTGTTATTATTAAAAAAATAGTGCTCGATACAAAAGTAGAGCATAAATATAATTATTTATTTAAAAATGTGATTCCAACACGCTACATAAGAGTTCTCACGTTTCAAAACAAGAGCCGGAAACATCAATTTAATTATTTGAATTAAATTGAATTAAAGTACTAAGATCTGTTCCATCTTCAAGCGAAATTTTTTTTGGAATAACTTATTTCTGAAATTTACGTGTTTTATAAGCATAAATTTTAGAAATTCCCCAAAAAATTTCGCTTGAAGATGGAACAGAGCTTAGTTCAATTTAATTCAAATAATTATATTGAAGTTTTTCGGCTCTTGTTTTGAAACATGAGAACTCTTATGTAGCGTGCTGTAATCAATTTTTAAATAAATAATATATATATATATATATATATATATATATATATATATATATATATGAAAAGATAACGAACAAAGAGGAATAGTTTATAGATGTAACGTTTTGCTTTTATCGCTATTCATCAGAGAATTGTACACTGAGGTCAAAACCGAGTAGCTATGCTCTGTCTGGTGCTAGAACGCAACCTTCAGGTGACAAATCGCCGCTCAGTGTTGACCTGAGTGTTCACCTTTATAAGCACATGCACACTGTCCATGATATTGAACATTTTGTACCCATAAATACTGCATAACTTAAAACTATATTTTATGATATACATAAATATATATATATATATATATATATATATATATATATATATATATATATATATATATATAGGGAAAAGGAAGGAAAAATTTGATCGTAATAATGGTATTTATCTTGAAATTCATAAATAGAGAAGTCTTTTTGAGCTTGTGCGTGACTGTACGTACATATAAGCAGAGGGAATTGTGGTGTGTGCGTGCATTTCTTTTTCTGCAAATGGCGCCACTGTGTTGATAAATGGATAACGAAAAGAGAAGTACATAGAAATCGAATGTTGATTCAATGCAACACTTGCCGCTATTGCTGTAAAATTGATGTGTGAAGATAATTTCTGCTTGGGTTTTGTTTATATGTATGAGTCAATTCGGATAGCTTTTGAACGACATACTTTTCGTGATGTTCATCAAAATTATGGATGCTTTGCTGGAAATGAATATATATATATATATATATATATATATATTCATACACGTTTCATTAAATAATACAGACAAGTGTTGTCTATTTATTTTATGTAAATTCTTTTCGTAACGTCTGATAAGTTTAATAACATTATCGTTGAACGAAGAAAGAAATTCACAATATTCATCCATATTTTTTTATTTAATACAATCTTAGCTTTCGGCTTATATAAGCCATTATCAAAGGTGTCAATTACAACATATTAAACAATATACGGACAAGACAGTGATGATAATCTGTGAATGTTTACATAGATGATCTCTAAACAACGATAAACACGTGCATATAAGACGCTAGAAGCGAAAATCGCACCGCATATCATGACGTCACACATGACCACACGAGTGTGAATTGGAGAAGTATGAAGTATGGAAATCTGTTGGTATAAACCAATGGCTTCTGTTACCAATTATAGACATTTAAGAATATTTGTAGAGATGCCATAATTGATTTTGTTTAGGTTGGGTTTCAACTGTTTGATGTATAATGCTTCATGTATTTTTAGTTTTTGTCTATTGTTTTCATGTCGAAGTATAATTGTGTTTTCGACAAGTATTTTACGGAATTGTGTGTGCGGGCAGGCATGTTGTTTTAAATGCCTAAAAATGTTAGAGTTTTCATTCAAATTCAGACGTTACGAAAAAAATTTACATAAAATATATGCCTAAATACACACAAAATATATATATATATATATATATATATATATGTGTGTGTGTGTGTGTGTGTGTGTGTGTGTGTGTGTGTGTAAGCAGGATGGATAGTGCCTTGGATTGAGGAATCGGAAAACTGATGTCGAATTCCAGTCGATTTTGTTTCATTCATTTATATGCAAATACGCTTTGAAAGGATAAGAATTGATCTCTTCGCCCCCTAAGCTATGGTTAAATAGCAGGAAAAACCGGATGCCCAGTGATGTAATGGATAGCGGTTGGGGTTTAGGAATCAGAGAGCCGTGTTTGAATTCCAGTCGAGTTCATTACATTCATTTACGCGATAATACCCTTAGAAAAGGTATGAATCCATATCTTCTCCTTGCCAGCTTTGGGTAAATAGGAGCCTTGGGTAGTAACCGGTCTAGGAGAAGGAGGACATTAAATTCAAAATCTATGGAGATTCATTTGAAGAACTTATGCACCGATTCTCTGTATTCGGGCCTTTCAAAAACTGTGTTTGGTTCTGCACAAGCCTTCACCACTATAATTAAATCATATGTCCGATCGATTAATCAGGCTTTTCGATTCTAAGAAATGATTTGCGAAACACTTATAATTCAAAAGCGATGGGCAAGTCCAGGATATATATATATATATATATATATATATATATATATATATATACTCGCCCGAAAAAATAAAATTCGGTTGAGCACTTTAGAGGGTATACGCGAATTTGTAAACAGTGACTGCTACTGCTGATAATGCAAAGCTCTTCTTTGAATCGAGCGCTCTGAGTCACTGGTGGGTTTATTCAAAAATAAATACGTAAAAATACAACTTCCTCCCTGCCGGGAGTAGATAGCTTCGAGGAAAAATCTCCGACTCATCCCAAATCAAGGGACTTTACACGAGAACTAACGCCCCACCGACTGATAATTGGATTCATTTGTAAATACGACCTTCGCATATGAAAACCAAATACGGCTTAAAAAGATTATACGTGTAAAGTATGACCGGTGTTTGTCGCTTCCATATTGAAAATTGCTCTGAAAGGGAGTCATCTGTTTTCTTTACCAAAATGACCCCCTAATGGATAGTTGTTTTTGTTTGTTGTGTTTATTCATGTTTCTGTAGTTAGAGGCGTTGCTACTCTAGGGTCGACGATACAAATGGTAGCGAGCTTACTATCTAAACCATATATGCGCATATAAACCCGTTAATATCGATATAAATACAAACAGCATGAAGATTCATCAAATAAAAACAGTAGAACAACCAAATGTCAAAGTATAAAAGTCTATAAACACTCCTCCCTGTTATTTTGAACAAGAGTTGAGGTTTGTCCCTTGTTTCCTGTTTAGAAATGGGTTTCCGGTTCCTTCTAAAGTCTTGTTTTTCATTCTCAGTAGCCACATGTCTTAGTGACATTATCTTCTTGCTTGGGTTAAAATGATTACGAACAAAACAAAAAAATTAAAAAAAAACAAAACATTTTTTAAAATTGTTAAATAATTTGCATCATATTTTTCTTTCTTTTTTGTTATCAAGACAAAGGTTTTGTTATAAATCCATAACCTTCTTCATTTTAAACTGTCCTTGATCATTTTAAACCGACGGCTTCTCTTTATATACATATTTCAATTTTTGTAATTTTTTTACATATATTTTTTATAAATTTCTTTCCCTTTGTATCAAGATAAATGTTTTGTTATAAATCCAGATCCTTGTTCCGTTATTTTAAACTGACTGCTTCTCTTTTTCTTTTTTTTTTTACTTATATTTAATCTATAATTATAAGATATAATTTTTATGAGTGAAAATTCCACAGAAAAATATAAGAAAATTCTTTAAAGTTTCATTTGAAACCAGAAGATACGAACTTTAAGTAAAATCGTCACAATTTATAGAAAAAGAAAGTGCCAGATTAAACTGATATCAGAAAGATATAAGTTAAAATCACAATAAAAAAAGAAAATAAATTCTTTATAAATAATCAAATGATAAATTTACTGGTCAACAAAATGAAACTGTTTTGAATCATCCGAGTTGGAAGATTACATTTTTAGTCATTTTTTATGCTGATTACGAATCTGAAGTCGGTTACTTCTCTGTCAAATCACATTTTTATGTTACTGACATCTCTCGTTTTCACATTTTGGTAGGTAATTTATATAATATAAGGTAAATTAAATACAAAATATGACTTTTTCGTGGCCATTTATTCTACAACATCAAAACTATCAGTGCTATAATATTCTTTATTGAATTACAACTTCAGAGTTTTGGGATTTAGACTAACTCTGGTGCTCATCCGCACTGTTGGCTAGGGCTACAGAATACGCCGACTGCACCTCTATAGAGGGGTAACACCCCCCCACCAAATGAGGCGTCCTGGGTAAGACGATAAACTACCATCCAGCAGCAAGGCCTCTGACCAGGAGGTTTTAAGGAGCGTGGAACCACCTAAATTGCTGGTGTTCCTACGTCCACCCTGCCCCGGGGTGGTAGCACCTGTTAGTGTCCCATCCATGGGCAAATTGTTAATCACCAAACTGGGGTCAAAACATTATGAAAGTGTAAAAATAGGTTTTAATACCAGGAATGAAAAATTATTACGAGTAATGAATAAATGTCTTCAAGACACATGGCACAGTGGATAAAGGCGTTAGTTAGATCCAGTGACAGGACCCAAAGAGTGTGAGTTCCTCAGAGACATATGGCACAGTGGATAAAGGCGTTAGTTAGATTCAGTGACAGGACCCAAAGAGTGTGAGTTCCTCAGGGACACATGGCACAGTGGATAAAGGCGTTAGTTAGATTCAGTGACAGGACCCAAAGAGTGTGAGTTCCTCAGGGACACATGGCACAGTGGATAAAGGCTTTAGTTAGATCCAGTGACAGGACCCAAAGAGTGTGAGTTCCTCAGGGACACATGGCACAGTGGATAAAGGCGTTAGTTAGATTCAGTGACAGGACCCAAAGAGTGTGAGTTCCTTAGGGTAACGTGACACAGTGGATAAAGGCGTTAGTTAGATCCAGTGACAGGACGTTGATTGGCAAGCTAGGCTGACTCTTCCAACTTCTGGCACAATACGATCTTCCTACACAGACTTTATAAGGCATTTCTTGGATTAATGGTTAGAAAGCTAATCTCCCAGATCATTATTACAGAAGTGAATTTGATCGTTGCTAAATGTCCCTTAATTTTGACTTAGTGCCAGACTGACGATCACGAGTCCTGTAACCCATTAGAGTCATAGAGGCAGCAATGCAGCTGCAGAAGACGTGGTGAGTCTTCGGAAATATAGTCAGTGGGAGCCCACCTCTCTCCAAGCTGGTTTGAATTCAAAGTTTTTCCTTTTCCTGAACTGGTTGCCACCTAGAAGTATAGAACCTTGTCTCACCTGCTATTTACCCATAGCTGGGTGAGAAGAGATGCATGGTCAGAGGCCTTACATACCTGTATTAGCTCGTAAGGGAATGTAATGTGATGAACTAGAATTCGAACTTGGCACTCCGATTCCTCAATCTGAGCCACTACATCACAGTGATTCTATTCCAGAATAAGCTTGGTAAATATCTGTTAAGAGTTTTTGGGTATGGATTCCCATAATTCCCAATTTCAAAAATCGCCCCCAGAAACAATTTTAACTAAGAATAAACATAGAAATAATAATAATAATAATAATAATAATAATAATAATAATAATAATAATAATAGAAAAAAATATCGATATAACTCTTCCAATATTTTTCCACACCTAGAGAAGAGCGCGATTTAAGAAAAGAAAAGACAGCGTTTGACATTGCTCAACAATATTTCGAAAGTGTGTCCTTTTTGTTAAAGTTATGCTTAAAAATTGCATACAAGTACAGAAATATAAAAAAAAAAATGATAAATCATGGTAAAAATATCGCTTCTTTTGAGAAAAAAGGTTATCCTGGTAATAAACTCGTCAAAACGAATAAAACGCAGCCCGTGTCAGTGGAATGCAACTTAAACATGAGTACATGATAGGGACCATGCTCATCTTGAATTTTTCTGTTAAATAATTAGTTACTAAGATCAATTAAACAAACAGTTTAATAGAAATATTATGAAACACTCTGGTCATTATGTTCATACCGGGGCTTTAGTAGTTTGCCTCATGCGTTTTAAGTACCGTAAGGTCGGTGGATTCTGGATATTTCTTTTTCAGAATGAGCACCATAAGATATTCATCGAAATTGCAGTCGTTTCTAATAAAAGAAATGAAACAAAAAGATATAAAAACTGAGTTGAAATTTGTAAAATCTATTTTAAGAAAGATACAGTTAAGATGCATTAGGTTGAAATAAAATCCGATTATCTGATGACGATGTTTGATTGGCGAAGCATACCAGTTATTTTTCCAAATTTACATACCATAATTGGAAGATAAAAAAGCACAGAAATAATAAAAACAGAACCATGATAATTACTGTTATTTAGGAAGCTCTGAAAATAGTAAAACTAACAATGAATCGATCATTATCAACGACTGTGATTACTGTTTTCTGACGAAAGTTCTATCTTCATTATAACAGAAATTAAATCTTTCCAGCAGTAACAGTGCTATTAAGAAGAATGCTCATGATGATGATGATTATGGCGATGATGAGGAAAACACACGAGAGATAGGAAGAAACAGAAAGGTAAAAGAGAAAAAAGACAGCAAAGAATTAAAAGAAAGAAGAATTTCAGATAAAGAAAATTCGGGCCTACAAGGAAGCAAAGGTGGACTAGATCAAAAAAATGTGATGTCCTGTCGCGGAAGGATACTAGCGGGTGATGCGATCACAATTATGCGCGCGCATCCCCGGATTCCTTTGATTGTCAGCCCAGCATTGGCCGCCATCTTGGTCGTTCGTCTCTTCTTTTCGAGCCGTTGCTATTAAACTCGTGCTCGCTGGGAGCAGAACCGAAAAATCAGAGAGATTTTTCAATAGAAAATGGAGGTGGGAGGTTGCATACCTTGGGGTCGCTGGACAGAATGCGGAGTGTTATGTGACGTTGGGCTTAGGTTAAAAAGATGTACTTGGAGGTATGTGTCTGCCTACTTCGATTTCTGTCCTGACGTTACCTTTCTTCTTGTGCGAGGATGTTCCTTTGTGATCACGTGACAGATATGTGGACGTAACGGTGGATATATAAAGAGTATATATATATATATATATATATATATATATATATATATATATAGAGAGAGAGAGAGAGAGAGAGGGGGGGAAATCGGTGGAGAGGGAGGAGCATTCAAGGTATATTCATTTATATGTATAAGGTGTAGGCGTCTAAGATGGCGTGGAAATGAGAAAGCTTGTCTTGCGGATAACTTACGGATAGCAGTTTGATACTAAATGTTAATATATATTATTGTAGATTTATATCAGATTATGCTAAACATATTAATTATTCCACGTTAACTTTTCACATCTCGTTAAAAAATTCATTGTGACAGGACGAAAATGAATGGTAGAAAGAATATATTGCACCCTTGTTGTAGAGAGACCATCTTCTGTCTCGTATATGTACCGTGTCAAGGCTCTCTACAACTTCCTATTCTTCGTAATTCTTAGTAATGTATAATGTTTTAATTATCATTTCAACCCCGTTCCGCTATCCATTCATAAAAGCTCTGGGTACTTCGACGTGGTGTAATGGTTAGTGAACTTGTCTCGATAGATCTATTACGATTGACTAGTGAGATTGATCCTCACTGGGTGCTCTATGATTTCGATTTGTGCTACATATACGCTACGCTTTTAAAATCTCCATTCATAAAAGCTCGTCACGTATATCTCTGTCTATAAAGGGCAGGATGTGTGTGTGTGTGTGTGTGTGTGTAACGAATGCACGGCCGCAATTTTCGACGGATTTGCACCAAAATTTACATGCACATGCTCCAACTTAGCGGGTAGCCAAGACTGACTTTGCATTTCCCAACTCCCATCGATAGTGGAAATAATCGATTTTTTCATGCTTCTACGGCAGTTTTCATGTAGTTTGCGGCCATTTTCTACTGGCCAGAGTGAGACCCTATAGCTGCCACGAATAGGCAGGAACATTATATTGGCCAGCGTGAGAGCCAACAGCTGACTGACACGAATGTTAACTAGCATGCTAGCATGCAAAAAAAATCGATAGCTGCATTCGTCACAAGTGGAAAAAAATTAAATCTGCATGGCACTTTACTCTAATTGGTTCATTTGCTTGCTTAAACTCAACGTTGATTCTGATTCCGCAGAACTGGATTGGGTGTGAAAATGTATTTGTTGTTAACATTCTTTTTTCATTCGGTTTTTCCAGTTACGAGTGCTTTGTTAAAGCTGATCGTTTTGTGTTCATTTTGTTTAGTTCTTTTTTCGTAACAGATTTAATGTTTAGTATAGGGCTTAGAAAAAAATTCTCAGTGTGAGATAGGCAAGAAGTAAGGCATGTAGCAACATCAACACGTCAAAGGGCACTCCTTTAAAGGCAAGGAAGGGCAGAAATATTTTAAGTCAAGTGATAGCGATTGTTGTATGAGTCGTACGATTTTTGAATCAAGCACGGGCAAAGCCGGGCCATGCTGCTAGTGCCAAATATAAATATGTAATATAGCTGCCCTTTGCCTTTTCTATATATAATTTCATGGTAATTGTTCTGATGGTCTTTCCTCCATGATAACTAGATTTTATAAGTTTAAACGCAGTACTAGATTGGCGGGAAGGTATCATCAATTTACAATTGAAATATAACCGTAAGTTCTAACCTAACAATTTCTTCTATCACACGTTTGCTTGTGGAATTCTTTTTCAGCTTCTAGCTTTTCTGTCAACTTTGATCTTCAAAAATCTAAATGCAATGCCAATCGTTATCTTCTTATTCTTTTATTTCTCTCCTTAACAATAGTTTTTTTTCATATTCTCTAACACTTCGTAATAATTAATAATGTTTTGGCAACGTGGCGGATGGGATTCAGATTTCAAACTGTTCGATAAAACTATAAAGATACGCTGTCATATTTTTCCTCCCGTTTACCAATATGCAAATAAATAGGGTTGATACTTGCAACATCTCCATTCTCCATATGTATGTATATATCATATGGGGAAATGGCTGAGTAGTTAGAATACGTGGGGAATGGCCGAATGGTTACAAAGATATCATTTTGTCCATTAGTCCAGATTTGACACACCCTAGCCTATTGTTCAATAGGGTACTTTTTTTGATACTAGCAGCTTAGACAAGTAATCTCAACATACACTACTGTTGGGAAGCGTTTGAAAAGGACACTATAGGTTGACCCAAGACTTATAAGAGAAGCTGAGTTGAATCTCACGGCGGTCGCAGAAGCGTGAAGTCACGGATCTTCTTGATTGACAACCTTTCTAGAGACGATGGAAATACCGATACATTAACAGAATGGATACTAGCATCAATAAACCCACAATAAGACATTCTTAAAAAATCAATAGATTAAATCACGAGAATTCGCCATCTGACACGCGTACATATAGGCAGTCATGGTAATGTATTCATTTCACCCCAAGAAAGACAATAAAATGACTATTTTATTGTCTTTCTTGGGGTGAAATGATTAAAAAAAGGTAGGTGTCCATCTGCCAACAACCACTGTTTCTTTTACTTTCCAGCAGTCAGTTTTGTGCCATGCATGATACACGCTTAGACGATCATGTATCTTTCGCTACATGACTGACGAGGCAGATTTTTCCCGCTGTAGGTTGCCATATCTTTCTGAGGTAGACCAGTTGCCATTCACGGTCTGTCCTGCTATGTAACTCATTGGAGGCGGGAGAAGAAGAGGATTCATACCTTTCCCCCAAGGGTATTAGCACGTAAGTGAATGTAATGGATTCGACTGGAATTCGAACTTGGCTCTCCGATTCCTCAGTCCGAGCGCTGTTTTCTGAATGTCAAATTTTCAACACCGCATTGTGTCTAAGAAATTTCAGCCGCCTATTTTTTGATTTTGGGTATATGTCTTTCATGTTTCTATTCGTTTCACTCTTTGGGCAGAGCCAACTCAAGGGCGATTCTGTCAAAGGAAAGTGTTAAGACTTCTTCGTGGGTTATGTACTTTGTTAATGATGTTTTCACCAACCTTCTGTAGAAGTACATTTACCTCTAGTCTTCTCTTCATCCGTAAGAACATTGTCCAACATTGGCTACCATAGAGGAGGACTGATATTGCATATAGGCATATCACTTTTCTTTTATTTCTAACGAAATTTTTCTTACTTCTTATTACTTTGCTTTGTTTCTGGAAGGCATCTATTGCTGTTCAATAACTCCTACGGATTTTTCTGTTATATTACCTGTCCCGTGTTAAAATACTTCCCAGATATCTAAACATCTGTACTTGTTTAATTTTGGCATCTCGAAATCGTAGTGCACATCTTGGGCATATTCTTCTTGCTGAGAATCAGAATTTCTTTCTTCTTACCATCGATAGATAGTCCCTTATTCTCGCTTTCCTTTACTACATTATCTAGAAGTTCCTATAGTTTTCCTGCTATGCCTGTTATCAAGTCCGCCAATATTAAGTCCTTGTTGGATTTCTAGAATTCCCTCGCTGTCGAGGTTAATAAATCCGGTGAGTACATTCATCAATAAACAAGATCAGTAAAATTTGTATGTTATCCTGAACTTCAGGATTAGTTCATTGGCACAGTATTATGCGTAGATGTCTTATTCAGGATACTGATTTTCATTAATGTATTCATTTTTTTACGGCTTATCAACCTCTTGGAGGTTATTTAAAGCCAGAAAATATATTCAGATTGTAAGAAATTTTCTTTTGAAGATAATAATTGTTTAATGATAAAAGTTTTGCTAATTAGCCAATCACATCAATTATGAAATCTAGAGTACTTAAACACCATGGCTATATCAAAAGACCAACTCATGGTGTTAGTAAGCTATGCCGAGAACGAAAGTTAGCCGCTAAGAGAAGCAAAGGTCGACAGCCAAAACGCTAACTTGATAAAGTCCATTCTGTAGAATAACAATACAATAAACAACACTTACCGGCGTAAGAGTCCCAGCTAGCGTCCAGCTGGCAGACAAAAATAAAGCAGGTTGTAACTTAATACAAACCCTGCAAACTAACTGAGAAATCAAGCTGGTATTTATATAGAAATACGTCCACTCAGGTACCAGCAGCCAATCACAGCCCAAGCAATGGACTATCCCACTTTAGCATAATGAGATGCTCCATTGCACCATAAATAACTCTTTCTCAATGTTGAATTGGTATTCACTCAGCTTGCTCCACAACTGAGTGTTTATCTTGACCACGTGATTGTTCGACACATGCTATAGGTTTGGTTTGGTTTATTTTGTTTTACGGCATTTCAACCTCAATGGGTTATTTAATGCCGACAATATTTTTAGGATAGCTTTGTATGAATAGAATATTTATTCTTTGTTTGTAGATCAAGTTTCATCGACATATTTTAGTAAAGAGAGTTTTATTTAGAGTCACATGTATTGCTGGTAATATTTTTTTCTAAAAATATAGTGTTTTGACCTCAGTTCAGGTGTTAACTATTTGCCCATAGCGGGGAGCCTAACAGGTGCTACTACCCCGAGTCAGCGTGGACTTGAATAACAACAGCAATGAAGAGGTTGTTCTAAGCTGCTCAAAACCTCCCAGTCAGAGACCTTGCTGCCGGATGTAGTTTATCGTCATACCCTGGATGTATGCTGTTGGTAATCGAAGTAGAATATGTCAGGTTTG